TCTGCAGCTTTGCTTGCCCCAATACCCCGAGTCTTAATGGGAGTATTGACTGAAACAAAGACTATATTGATAAAGTTATATGATTAAATTAGTTGTATCTAATACTTATCTCTTTATCTATTCTGTTACAAGAATCTTAGGAATTTGTGGTGAGGGAGGAGTCTGCTTTCCTCTGCTATATATATGTAACACTAACTGTACAGAATAATTATTCGTTCAAGAATATAGACAAAGGCTGCTTGTTTCTCCTATTTTCCTTTCTTGGTATCAGAGTAGGAAGAGTTCACAGCTCAAATGGCTTCCCCTCAACTCTCCTCTACCACTACCAGTCCATCTTCTACCACAAATGAAGCCTCGAATCTTCCTAATCAGCCTACAAACCCAGCGAATCAACTAGCCACAGTTCGATTGACTAATGGAAATTATCTCCTTTGGAAACAACAGCTAGAAGCTGGAATTCGTGGTCTCGACCTTGAGAATTTTATTTATGGATCAGTAACCTCTCCATCCAAAATCTTGCCATCAGAAAATGACCTTCCAGGATCTCTAAATCCTGAGTATATTCGCTTTCAATGACAGGATTCGTTGATCTTCTCGTATCTTCTTGCTACCATGGATGAGAGTATTCAAGCTCAAATGGTGGGATGTCACTCATCAGCAGATGTTTGGAAAGCTGTTGCTACCTTGTTTGGCTCCAGATCTAAAGCCAAAATAATGCAATATAAATTGCAGCTACAAACCTTGAAAAAAGGAGGTCTTGCAATGAAAGAGTACCTGTCCAAGATGAAAGCTGCAGCAGATACACTTTCTTCAGCAGGGTATTCAATTTCAGAGGAAGATCAGATTCTTTACATCCTTGCAGGTGTTGGACTTGAGTACGATTCAGTAGTGGTCAATGTCACCAATCGTCCAGAACCGTTCACCTTGGATGAGGTAAGAGCATTACTTCAAGCACATGAAGTTCGTCTTGAGCAATTCCATGGTAGTACTGAGTCATCTACTCCCTCTGTCAACTTGACTTTCCAACAACGCAAATCACACAGTGGAGGACGTAGTTATAGCTCTCAGCCCTCTTTTCATCCAAACTTTTCACCAGCTCAAGGAAATCGTGGTAGAGGTCGCGGTAACAGAGGAGGCAGGTCTTGGAATGGTGGCAATAGACCTCAGTGCCAACTTTGTGGTAAATATGGTCATACAGTTCACAAGTGTTACTTCAGGTTCGATTCCAACTTCTCTGGCTATAGTTCAAATCTGAATTCTAGCAGTCAGCACCCTTCACGGCAGCAACAATCAGAAAACTC